GATAAGTAGATAAAGTCAAATGGAGCGTCACGAGTGTTCTTCCCTTACCATCAAAAGCGAGCAGTGTTGATAAGCGTAGGTAAGCCACCACGGTCAACTGTCGCATGGTATTACCATCACGAGTACGTGAGCCGCCAACAGCGACTGCTAGATGGTACCGCCATTGCGAGTGCGCGAGTCCCTATCAGAAATTCGTTGCGCCGCCCTTGACTACGTCAAGCTATGTTGTTGGGTATCTCCTTCCATCTAGGTTTTATCTGTTCCCTAGGAAACATACATTATTTTTTTATTAATTTTAGTAGCTTATAAAAATTGTATATAAAGTATAACTCAACTCTCAAGCATCCACATAGTAGTTTTGCCGGTATCATTTGCGGATGAAATAAATAATGTAAGTGAATGGTTTACCATTTTTAAATTAGTTAAAGAGGGCGCCAGGAGTGTTCTTCCCTTACCGTCAAAAGCGAGCATTGTCGGTAAGCGTAGGTAAGCCATCACCGTCAACTGCCGCATGGTATTACCATCACGAGTACGTGAGCAGCCAACGGCGACTGGTTGATGGCACCGCCATCGCGAGTGCGCGAGCCCCTATCAGAAATTCGTTGCGCCGACCTTGGGGGCAAAAAACGGTGAAAGCTAATGTACGAGACCAGAGGGCAGCACAGGATGCGATCGCGCGACCTTGCCCGTGAGCAATCTCCCAACTCATCTCTGTTTCGAGTTACAATTTTAATTTGAAGATTTTTTTTAGGGTAAATCGTTAGTTTCCGTTGCACGGCGATCACTCCGGGCATCGAGACCCTTGGAAAATGGCGGTCCATCGTTCCTTGAGTGCGCCTGCGTGCCGGGAGGAATCTGAAATCTTTATCAGGTGACCCGGAATTTTCCAATCGGAGTCCTGAAATTCGGAGGCGGACTCGCTACACGGGTCTAAGCCTTGATCGAACGGCAACCTGTAGCGCGGCGGGCCTTCCCTTGGAACGTCGATACGCGGGGGGCATCCGAAAATCCATTTTGCTCGGTCAAGGTCCGTCGAAGTAGGCGTGCGCGCCCGTAATTTGTTGTAAACGCGCAATGCACATGCAAGCGCGCGCGTGCTACTCCGAGAAATCAAGGAGAGTAATCGCCCCAGAGAGGAAATACGCACCTCTCGATAAATGGGAAACGGAATACAATTGTGTCGGCCTTAGAAATATCTACACTTTCATCCGAATTCTCGAACGCATTTAAATAATGATATTTAGTGTAAAGACAGAATTATTCTTTATGAATTTTGAGAAATTATTTTTAAACCTCCGAATAAGTGTAAGGGCGTCCGGGGAATGTAAGAACGTTGTTCTATGAATTTGCTGCGATTCTTGAACGGTGGGGAAACAATTTTCGTTATAAAAAATACCGTTCATTTTATGAGGGGGTCGGCGAGTCTATCCTCTTCGTTTATTTATCTACTTCGCTTAAATTTCACACGTGGCGGAGACTGGAGGTGTGAAAAAAGACGCAAAACGAGAAGTTAAACTCGTTCATTAATGAACCATAAAGAGTCCGTCGATTCGCGAGCACTGTAGCAGTGGTTCTCAATTTCGGTCAGATATTGGTTGATTGAAAAGCTGCCAATTTATGGTCTGTGGAAACACGCAATTAGGAGTTACGTCGAGCATCAACTGTTTGACCTGTCGAAAATTCATAAAATTACAATTCACGGGAAGCGATTAAATGACGTGATCTCTTGACGTACACGTATAACAATGAAGTTGCATTTGACGCTGTAGAATATTGACTAACTTTATCGTTTAATTCTCGCGTTTACTCGAAAGAGGTTTCTTGGAGATGTAAGTTGCAAAAAAAATACCCTCGTCGAATTTTAAAGAATTATTGTATAACCACGATAATTTTCACCAACTCATAGGAAACAAAATCGTAACAGTAATTCCTCTTAATTATACAATCACCGCCGACGTTTCTCAGCATCTCCAAAGATAACGTCGATAGAGGCCCGAACAGTTCTTCGCGAAGAATTTTCAAACCACCAAATAATCCATAAAATTCCCCGCAATGTTCTTATAGTCAGGATATTTGATAAACGCGCCCGGAGCAAAAATCATGGATTCACGATCCAGTTGACGGATTATTTAAATCACTTTTTGGTACAATCTTCTTTCTCGTGGAATTCTTTTCGGCATGTTATCAAATCTCCTGGAAATTTTAAGCCGTTTGCCGCCGTTGGGATTCGCGTCGGGAGGGGAACTTTTTGCCAATTTTTTTAGGGGTGCCAGGTGTGAAAAGAAATACGTCGTTTCTTTTGGAGAAGAGGGAGAGGGCTCCCTTGAATATTCGGGCTGCGTTATCTCATATCCAGCCTAGATTCGGCCCCCATGATCCGCAGATTTGTAAGCGAAAAGAGGGGCGCCGTGTCGCCCCCAATCGTTACGGGCCTGAAGCCAGCCGTAAGCGTAACCCGCCTCTCGTATCTACACGGGAGAAGCGAGGCAGTTCTCGAAGTAGTAACACCCACCTGTCGGTCGGACAGTAGTTATTAGTCGGTAGTGAGTAGTCCGTAGTCGGCGTAGTGCTGCATCCCGGTGTTCACCTATGTACAGTCCTCCGCACAGAGGCCCGTCTCCAGGGCTAACAGGTAAGATGTATCCTTGAGAAACGATCCGACACTTTTTTTTTTCAGTATTTCGTCGACGAGGAAACGCTTCGCTGGCCGACGTGGCTTTGTCGTGATCCTGTGCCGGAGATAGTGAAAAGGGGATGACACTAGATTGGAATACTCGCGCAGGGATTAGGTGAAATGTATCGTTAAAAAATAAAGTGCCAGACATTTAAGTAGTTTGCCAATCATTACGAGAAATTTTCGCCAGGCGACGTGGCTTCGAGATAATTTAGCCCGGGAGGCGGTGAAAATGGGAATTCTCGTAAATCTGAATATTTGCCCAGAGAATGGGTGGAATGCCATAAAAAATTAAAATAACGGTTTTTTTTTTAATACTTTACCGGCCATCACGGAAAAGTTTTGCCGGCTGACGGAGCTTTTTCATAGTTTAGTTATGTAGGTGGTGAAAAGGGAATACTACTTAATGTAAATATTCACGCGGATAATAGACAAAATATATCTCAAAAAATGAAGTGGCAGATTTTTAAACCTTTTATCGACCATTGCGGGTGATTTTCGCCAGGCGACGTGGCTTTAAAACCCGATAGAGCTGCAGGTAGAGGGTACATGCTTATTGATGCGAATGTTTAACTGAAGGAGAATAAACGAATTATATTTTTAAACTATAACGTGCCGAATTGTTAAACGCTTTGTCAATGGTCGCAGAAAATTTTCATCGGTCGCCGCAGCTTTATCCTTCGACAAATGTTTTCATAGGGGCAAGTATATGTTAGTAGATTCGATTTACATCGGGGTTAGGCAGAATGCATCTTTGAAAAGTGATTCATCAGATGTAAAAATGTTTTATGAACAAACCGGGGAAGTCTCTCCTTGCTTGTCTCGGCTGATCGACTTGCCGCGTCTTGGAGTAGATTACAGGTGTATTACAAATAGATGCGAGAATATGCATGAGCATTTTCACGCGAGTCACGCAACTAATGCTTTGCTCCATCCTCGGAGGGTAAATAAGGGATGCACGAGGAGTGAGCGAATCCGGATGGCTGATTCGAGCTAGAGTCCAAAGGACGGCAAGCGGTATTATTCATGCTAATTAAACACTCAATTCGATGGAACGCGATTCTACCATATCGCGATTGGAATTATTATTTTCCTAAGCTTCTCTTTTGACCAAAATTCGAAGCGCCTTGTAAATCATTTTTCGTTGCATCTCTTTTGTTCGGGAAACACCTTTGACTGTGGAACTACTTTCAAATCAAAAGAGAGCGCGTGAAATAGAGAGATAAGTGGAACGGTGTTATTCACGGTTGATGGAAATGGCAGTCAGGTATCGATGAAATGCGAACAACGAAATTGATCTACGGCCGTATGCACAAAGAGAGCTCGTCGTACGCCGTATTTATGGTACCTTGAAAGAAACGGAAGGCTACGTGAAACTTCTTTAACTCGGCCACGACTCCATTATTTATGAACTACTTTAACTTTCCGCATTTATCGCAATTTTCTATCCCGAACTGATTTCCTACCTCTCCTCTGAAGGACCTCTGGGGACGAACAAATGTGACGTAATGCCGGTATTTCCAGCGAGTTTTCCAATTTCCTCTCTTTCCCTCTGGTTCCCTAAATATTTGAAAATCCGGAATATTAACACCTTCCAAAGAATTTCCTTTCGTTAAAAATATACCGATGCAAATGTGACCTGTGGCTTCTAGGTGTTGTTTGGTTTCTTTGTACTTTTGTGTTATTACACCTCTAATCTGCATTGTTATTTTATTGACTTTTATTGTTATTGCTTTTTTGCTGAGGACAAAATTTCCATCGAGCAGCAACAGATAACAATAAAATCGAATTCTTCGACTTTGAATACACCACAATTTGTTTAAAAATAAACGTAATCCAATAAAAAATGTGGGGACTAATAACAGAAAATAATCTTACCTTTTTTATCATATCTGTTTATTATGACGACCCTTCTTTGATATTTCATTTCAAGTACAGTGCATTTTAGGGATGTACGGAAAGCTAGTAATTTTTTCCTTCTTCCCACACTTGGAAGCCTGGCAAATCCAAGAAGTTGGGGCTATCATTTTCTCGAACACTTATTCGAGTTCCGTGGAATCGATCTGTATCACTCACAAAGGAAAATTGATTGATGGATGTCGCAATAGGGAGCCAAAGGAACGTTAAAGGGAGCTTGGTGAAATATACGGAAGAAAGCAAATGGTTGGTAAATCAATAATATTTATAAGGCATTATGCTTTTTAACATTTACAAATAAATAAGATATATCCTCAAAGCTTCGTTAAAGGTTATTCGGTTCTCTGTTTAATGTTTTAAACTTTGAAGACGAATATAATCAATGAAGAAAATTAATATTTGCTATAAAGGAAGGAAGCATTTTTTGATGAATTGCTAAGTTTTCTTCATTTCTACGGGAAACCAAAGGTATGCTCGCGCAGCTTTAACAAAAGTTTCTCTTTTCGTGTTTCGATACTCTGGCTGGAGAACGTAAAATCCTAATTAATGGACAGTGATATGCGCGATAAGCACTCATATTATTCCTTTACTGCTCAGGGGAAACATTCGAGGCACGGAATAACGACCATGGAATTTACGGGGTACTCAGAGAATCGCACAGGACATTTTCGTCTGTGAGCAGTAATAAAAATCAAATCGACACTTTCACGAGTCGTAGAATATTATTACTAACAAAACCAGACCTATTCTCTAATGAAACTAGAAGAACTGCAGACGCAATCGATGACACTTTACGGGATTCGAGGTTTTCTTGTACGCCCACGATTTTCAAGGACACGTGTCCTCTTGTTCTTGAATTAAACAATTTCTGTACTTGCGGACACGTGCGAAGGACGTGCTTTCCTAGTTGCTGCGCCTATATGATTGCAGGCAGTAATTGCATTTGCGAAATGACGAGAAGCGACGTATGGATATTAACGCTACAGTCCGATCATTAGATACACTATTCTGGCTCGGGGAAACTTCGCTGACAGACATCGAGTTTATTCAGCCATAAACTCCCGATATTTCTGGAAACCCGGACTAACGTTAAATCTGAAACGCCCTACATTAAATCTAGAGATAGAAAATAAAATGATTAATTCTTCCCGAATTCTCGCTCTTTTTTCGAGGAACATTTCTCTTCAAACTTCAGCAGTTCTTCTTATTGCTCCATTAGGGCGGTACTTAGACCGGGTTTTTAGATTAACGTTAAAGTGAATGACTAATTATAATACCTTTTGAAATGTCGAGTATAAAAGGAGGGGGAGCGCCTTTACTCCGAAAGTCTGAATTAAGGATCCGAAACGAGTTCAGATTATTCGGCCGAAATGTATATGCAACTCGTTTTATCAGCCTCTGGAGGCTTATCCCTTAAAGCACCGGGAACAAAGGAGGGCCCCCCTTGGTCCGGATGTCGAAACAAGAGATTTAAATGGGCCAGGAGTTCTCGGTCGTCCTTCGGGATAAATAGGACAATCGGGGAGCATGTCGCGTTGCAGGACTGCAGGAGTAATTAGAACCGCAAGGATGTCGAATACCGAGAACGTGTTCCGTGCTCTCGTTAGAGTTCGCCTTTTCCGTTTTCCCGCAAAAATAGTCCGCGTCCAGTGACGTGGCTCCGGAGAAGCGGAACAATCCCGAGGGCTCGATCGGAATTTTGCGAAAGCGTAGCATCCTCTAGAACGAGGGAATGCACATTCCTGACGTTGCATCGGTGCGTTCTCTCTCTTCCGAGGAATTTTTGCAGAGCGAGATCTTTTTGAAGCCGTGATTCAAACGCGCGAAACGCGAAAGACTGAAATTTGGGATTGGCACTTCCCTAAAAATATATATATTTTTTTGTATTATTAAAGAGAAACGTGAAACTGCAAATATCTCTGTCAAATTTCAGGATTCCCGTGTCGGACATTGTTACCTTATATGAACCTTACGAATGCATGAGAGAATTTTAAGTACAATACGAGAATTTATGATAGAAAAATGTTAATGAAATTGGTCTACCTTGAACTTTAAATATTCATTTTATCCGTCTTCGAAGGGTTGAGATTCAAATAAGTGTTAGATCGATCCTCGGTTAAATCTGAGGAACCTCAAATTTTCAATATTTAATTGAGCCTTGTTTCATCCCTAACTCTAGGTATAGAGTTTTATATAAATTATTAATAAATTGTAAAGTTCAATTTTACATATTTAAGATTCATTTTAAATATTCATTTTATCCGTCTTCGAAGGGTTGAGATTCAAATAAGTGTTAGATCGATCCTCGGTTAAATCTGAGGAACCTCAAATTTTCAATATTTAATTGAGCCTTGTTTCATCCCTAACTCTAGGTATAGAGTTTTATATAAATTATTAATAAATTGTAAAGTTCAATTTTACATATTTAAGATTCTACTTTTTATAAATGGAATGATGCAATGAACTCCATATCTCCAATATATTTTCCAATTCGTTTCACTCCGTTTTTTTTTAATGACTAACAGTTACAACATTTTCAGGCGTAGCGTGTACAGAATTCGATTCAACGAAAACATTCCCAGGACTTCAAGGTTCTAATGAGAAAAATTAACTCCGAGGATCTTGACGAACTAAAGTGAGATTTAAATTTTTCTCGGTAAACTAGATGACCGAAAAAAGCAGAGAATTTAGGGGCTTAATCGAGATCGATAATTCAACTCGGGTTGTGGTAGGTCTGAATAATTAAATTAAAAAGATAATATCCTCTTTCGTGACTTGAACGTTAGAAGTTTAATTTAGCGGTGATTTTTATTCCTCGGGGAAAACGGTGTGGATTATATATGACCTTAGAGGGAGGAAAAGAGGCATCGGAAATCGGATAAAATTTCATACGATACCTGAGATCGATCCGCAGGGTCCGACTGCGGAGTCTCGGTCTGTCCTAGTGGGCCTTAATAAGGTAAATTTACTAAATTGAACCGGGATCCTGTCTCGAGACCTCGAGGGAGGCTCGGAGGTTCTCAACCTGGATTGGTTACCAC